CCCACCTGTTTGTGCCTTCTTTCCAAAAATCGGGACTTTTTAAAAATGCTGTGGGAGGCGGGACAAATTGTTGAAAATCGGGACTGTCCCGTCAAAAGCGGGACGTCTGGTCACCCTACTTTAAAACCACCCTCAGAATTCAGATGAAGAAAACACCCATGTCCCTTGATCATCTCCCTCTGTCCCCCTTTCCCTTATCAGTAAGCAGCCACTGTCTCCTGATGTTTGTAATCTTTTACCTGGAAACAATCTGGGCAGCACGATGGCTGTGCCTGCATGTCTCTAGCTATTGAAGAGGCTCTTGTCTTCTCCACTTTCCCTAGGGCTGATGAGGTCCCTCTGAAGATCCTGGCCCACAATAACTTTGTGGGGCGTCTCATTGGCAAGGAAGGACGCAACCTGAAGAAGGTGGAGCAGGACACAGAGACGAAAATCACTATCTCCTCGTAAGGCCCTCTCCCGTGTCCCTCTATGTGAGTGGGGGATGCATGGTGGACTGGGGTCAGTATTACATCATGCCGCCTTCAGCTGGGTGCTATTGCTGCCTGTTGAAGAAAAATAGTTAAAGAAGTGGTAAAGAGAAGTTTTCTTATCCCTCCAAGAGCTGGAGCTTGCCCAGCCCTACTTCCATGTGGGGTAGGGGGGATGGTAGGGGCCTGCCTCTGTAGGCCCTTTTTCTTCATATCACAGCCTTCTTACTCTGCATCTTAGGGTTTTAGGCCTGTCTGCCACCACAGAAGTGGCCCAACCTCAGTCCCTTTCTGTCAATGTCGTGTGCTACCTCTGCACACACTGTGCTTCCTCATTGCATCAAAGACTAGGCTGGGGGCAAAGTAATGCCTTTCTTCCAGAAATGGGCAAGACATGGATTGCACAGGGTCCATGGGGAAACTTGGTGGCACAGTCCTTCTTTTGTGACCAGCAACATATCCCGTGATTGAATTTGTTGCTAAAGGAGGGGTCTCAGTTGGGTATTCTCAACCCTCTGCACCTCACTCCCTGCCCTGCTTACAGACTGGGGGCCTGGAAGGGTGGGGACAGATAGTCATGTAAAAATGGGGGGCCTGTGACTCAGTTGGGGTCTGCCCCCCTCTGGGCTTGCCAGTGAAAGGCTGACACTGCTGTACATTTGTTCCAGGTTGCAGGACCTCACCCTCTACAACCCTGAGAGGACCATCACTGTGAAGGGGGCCATCGAGAACTGCTGCAGGGCTGAGCAAGAAATCATGAAGAAAGTCCGAGAGGCCTATGAGAATGACGTGGCCGCCATGAGCGTGAGTGCTGGATGACTTGCTGAGCAATAGGACCTTGGGCACAGATGGCAGACACCCCTGCCATGTGTTGTGTGGTCTGGGAGCTTTACTTAATGCTTGTGGACCTCAACTCATTAGAAATAGTAAATCTTGTTCCTAGGATAGGGATCTGATCTTTGTCTTTGAGGTTTGTGCTTCTAGAAGTATGGTCATATTTGTGCTTCTAAAGTGCATAGAAGCACAAATATTCATATATATATATATATAT